TCAAAATACATAAATAACACATTGTGATCATGCTGAAGATCACAGACAGCAGTCCAGGCGTCAGGTGGGATAAAGGAGCTGAAACATCACCTGATAAAGAGAAAAACAGACAACAAACTGAATGAGTAAAAGAAGACTTCTTCATTACACATTTTTCACCAATCACAAGCCTCTTCTTTCACTCTAGACTTTTGACCAATCACCGATCAGGATGAATTGCACTACTGTACTGTGCATCCCCATTTGGAGGGGTCAGCACAACCGGAGTGCAATGGCTGAGCCTCGCCCTGGGTGAACCAATTCAATTCAATTTTTAATTTTCAAAGGATTTTATTGTTCGGAAAACAAAATTACATCAATTCACTCATAAATAAACCATCAAGATACAAAGGGGCCCAAATGGGGAAACCCACAAAGGGAAAAACAGAACAAAGGGGGAAAAAAATACTTTCACATTAGTTCTACATACAGATACTCAAATATTTTCTTGGCACTTTCCATATCCTTCTCTTGTTCTCTTCACTTTCTCCAAATAGATTTCTTATAATATAATCTTTTAACAGACAAACCATACAATTGATCACAACTCTTTCCGGTATTTCATATCTTTTAAACACACAAATATTTCTCGCCCTCCATAATGCATCTTTGACACAGTTCACCATTATCCACCAACACTTCCCCCCCTCCCCTAATTCACTTTCGGAAACCCATACATTATGCTTTTGTATGTCAACTCTTCTTTACACAAATCATTCAACCAATGACCTAATAAACCCCATACATTTTTAGCAAAGGGGCATTCCCAAAACAAATGTCTAACCGTCTCATCTTCCCCACACCACCTTCCTGGACACTGCGCACTCCTCGTGCACTCCCTTTTTTTTCCAAATACGCTCTTGTAGGTACACATTCCTGAACAGCTTGCCACGCTACATCCTTATGGGAATTTAACAGTAACTTGTTTTTAACATTGCCCCAAGCTATTTTGCTATGGATTTCACGAAGTTTCCCTATCTGAGACATACTGACTGTCGGGAATAATATCTCCTCTAAGTTGGCACGAGTTATCTCCCGAGGTGTCAACGATTGAATCACCACGTCATAAACTGCGGGGTATTGTTCAGAGAAGGGCACACTAAGGGGGAGGCGCACACCCCATGCCTGCAACAGTGTCCAACCCACCCAAAACCTTGTAAAATATGGCCAAATCTTATCTTTAGGGTCACTGAAGCATGCCTTAAGCACTGGGGCGATAAACATTGCATTAAGTTTAGACGCAATTTCTGGGACTGCTCTCCCCCCTTTTTCTACCGGTCTGTACATCGTTTCTCTCTTCAATCTCTCATGTTGGCCTCCCCAAAGAAAATGAAACATAGCCTTCCTCAGTGAGGTTAATATTTTGTACGGGATTGGTAGCGTAGTTGCCAGAAATGCTATAGACGCAACTACTTCAGCCTTTAACACCAAAACCTTACCTATAAAGGAAAGCTCCCTGTCTTTCCAATTCAACAGCTTCCCTTGTATTTTTTGTAGTTTTGAATTCCAATTCTTAGTTTGCATATTTTCTCTTATTTCCACCCCTAAAATTTTCAGCGTTTCAAATTTTTCTTGCAATCCCCAATTCTCCTTAATCTCCCGCCACTTAAAATAAATCACCTCGCTCTTACCCTTATTGATTCTCATCCCTGAAGCTGCCGTAAAGGCTTCACAAACTGCCAGGCTTACGTCTATTGACTTGTTATCCGTAAGCAACAAAGTTATGTCATCCATGTACATAGAAAATTTAACTTCCAAGCCCCCACTACCTGGTGGGGTCAGCCCTTTAATTGACTCATTTAATCTTAATGCACATGCCAGTGGCTCCATCACCAATATAAACAAAATAGGGGACAAGGGACATCCCTGCCTTACTCCAGATTTCACTGGGACCGTAGCGGTCTGTGCCCCATTCACAACCACAACACTACTACAACCAGTATATAACACCCGGATCCATCTCCTGAACCCTTCCCCAAATCCTAAACTATCAAGAACTTTCATCAGAAAGACGTGACTGACGTTGTCAAAGGCCTTTTCTAAATCCAGGCCTAACACGCAAAGGGGGATATTCCGCTCTAGGCTATAAAGGTACCTGTCCCTTATAACTGCTAAACTATCAGTCATCCTACGCCCTTGTATCCCGCATGTTTGTTCCACTCCAATTAACTTAGGCACTACTGCCTGCAACCGGAAAAAAAAAAGGCTTTAGCTAAAATCTTGATGTCTACACCTAACGATGTCAGGGGTCTCATATTTCTTAAATCTTTTTTAGAGCCCTTTTTCCACAACAAGGAAATCACCCCTGTATTCATGGACACCGGCCATATGCCTTTATCCTACACTTCTTTATAGACCGAGCACAACGAAGGACTGAGTTGTTCCCAAAAGGCCTGATAATATTCCTTAGGCAAGCCATCCAAACCTGGCGTCTTGTTATCTTGCATACTTATCATAGCTCTTGTGATTTCCTCTAGCGTTATATCTTCATCTAACACTGTTCTGTCATCTGAATCTAATCTTTGAGATAAATGATTCCACAATCACTTCATCAATACTTTGCTCTTTGTACAAATTGGCGTAAAAGGAGTGTGTTGCCTCTAGAATTTCTTGGGTGCTTTCCACTTCTTTCCCTTCCCCATTAATCAGGCAGTCCATAATGGGTTTAGATTTGTACAATTTCCTAAAAAAATATCTCGTGCAATTTTCATTTTCTTCCATTTGTTTAACCCTACTCCTTACTAATACTCCTTTGCTTTTCTCATTTAACACTACCATCATTTCCTTTTTCAGGTTCATAATCTCCTCACTTACATCAAAACCTAGATTAAGGAGGTTGTAATACCTTTGTAATTTTGCCTGCTTTCTTAATAGCCATTGTCTCCTCCTCTTTGCCTGCTTTCTATCTAAACTAAAAAATACTTGAGTCCTAGTGTTTATACTCTCCCACCTACTGAATCGTATAGCGGTTGTAAAGAGGCCCATTGTTGTAATTTGAGTTTATATCTTCCCACCACCTTCCCTTCCTTTAATAAATTCAGGTTTAATTTCCATGGCCCCGGACATGGTTGAAAGGGGGTTTGAATGCTAAATCTACACGAAAAGGGTACTGGTTCCACCTTACATGACAGAGGCGTTAAGCCTTTGCTGGCAAACAAAAAATCAATCCGTGAAGCGGTCTTCTTATTGGACCAGGTGTGTCCTGGGTCTGTAGGGTTAAGAGATCTAAACACATTTCAGATTACCATCATTGATCAAATTTTCTAATGCACAAGTACTTGAGTCTTTCTTAACTGTTGGACTCGCCCCCTGGCTTGCACTCGTTTCCGGTGTACAGTTAAAATCCCCGCCCATTATTATCTGTCGTCTATTACAAAGAAAGGGTTGTAATGTTTGAAATAATGCAGTCCGTTCTTTCATATCTGTATGTCCATAAACATTAATAATCCTAAATTTACTCCCGTTTTTCTCTACGTCAATAAGTAAAGCTCTCCCATCCACCACAACTTCCACATTTTCTATGTTAATGGTTTTATTATTAAACAAAAACCCCAAACCAGACATTCGATTTTGGTTATCCCCTGACCAAAAGGATTGTCCATCGTTTTGTGAACTTCACGTAATTGTCCATAAAGGGTAGGGCACATTCTTGGAGAAGACAAATGTCCCCACCCGTTTCATGTAGTACACTAAAAACAGATTGGCATTTCACTGCATCATTCAACTCTGAAATGTATTTATGTTGGTTCTAAAAAGGGGTGGTCATTGTACTCTGAAAAACTTTATTATTGAGAGTTCTACTATAGCTTTACCTTTTTGTTTTTCTTCCTCCGTGGAAGCCACATCGATGTCGGTGCTCTCTCGTCGTTGCTTTCCTCCTGTTTTCCTGAGCAGCTCCCTGGGTAGGTGTCGGGACTTGTTCTTCAAGTGGGGGTATTGGCGAGGGGTCTGTATGGCCCTGAATTTCCAAATCAAGGTTCCCAGTAGAAGACTCTGTTGAGGTATTTCTCTGTCGTTTATGTGAGTTCGGCGCTGCATAAAGGCCTACTTGTAGCGACAATTCAGAGGGGGTAGTTGTGTTATCTTCGATGTCACAAGGAGGTAACGAAAAACCTCCCTCTTCTAGGGTGATAATGTGTTTGGACTGAACCGTTGAAAGATCAGGGAACATGAGATCAAGCAGGTCTCTAAACTCTTTGGATGTTGACGGCCGCGTAAGGATTTGGGTGCCTGAGAGAGATACCATCTCCTCCTGATTCGCCTACTGTATCTTGGTTTCCATTTCTAATTGAGATACATGCACGTCAGGATTAGTCGTAGACACTCTTTGCGTCTCTAATAGTTGTTCACTCCCGTCCGTTAACCCTGTGGTGTCCCCTGTCACCACTGTCGTTGAATCCTTGTGTGTAGTTACTTGAGAGGGCTGGTCATCTACTCGTTCCCCACCCCAGCTGTAGGTCGTTTGGCCCTCAACCACTTCCTGCTGGAGCTCGTTGGCTTGGTCGTTACTTACATCTTCATCAGCTTGCGGACCTCCTCCAGTTAGCATTGGTATCTCCTCTAAGTGCTGCAGCTGTGGTCTTTTCACCCTGTTTGCATAGGATTGGGGACACGCCCTAAAGGTATGTCCTTCTCCCCTGCAAAGGTTACATTTCCTTGGGAAGGGGCATTCCCTTTCAATGTGCTCGTCACTGTTACAGTTTTTACAAACCACATTGTCGCACTCTGCGGCTAGATGGTTGTTGCTGCCACATTTACGACATGTTTTGGGTTGCCCGGGGTAGAAAACATATCCTCTGATTGCCCCTAATTGGAAGTGAGGTGAGGTGAGTTCTCATCTCTATGCAGGTGAACATAGAAACGATATGCTCCGGTTCGGATACCATCTTCGTCTTTTAAGTCCAAACCTCTCGTCACCGCACATTTAAAGGACAACCAGGTCTTAATATCTTCCACTCTCACATATTCCGAATGCATGATCACTGTCACAGCTTTGGGTTCTCTGCCTGATAACGGTGTCATCTTAATATTCTCCAGCTGAGGTCTTGATTGTTTAAGTCTATTAAACTTGTCAATACATGATTCAAAGAACGAATTGGTGGCAAAAATCACCTCATAACTTTTCTTTCCAGGCAAGCCGAAAATGTAGTCGATCTGCGTTGGAGAAAATCCCAATTCCTTCTGGATGACAATCCTGCTGAACTGTAGTCAGTCCATTTCGCAATTTCCTTGCATCTCAAGCATTCCTCCTGGAACCTGTCATGTTAGCAGTCGATGTCGCCATGGTGGGTCTGGGTGGGTCATAACCGTCGTGATCATGGTATCTCCCCTGCCAAGTAAGTATCCTGTAAGCAAGCTTTCAGAGACTTGATAAACACCAGGACACTATTATATCTGTTTCCTTTGAACATGTGATCAGGGGAGAGCGCGAACGCAGTCCCCCACTACCAGAAATTATGCAGTCGAGATTCCCACATTTGGGGAATTCGCAGGGGTCAGCACAACCGGAGTGCAATGGCTGAGCCTCGCCCTGGGTGAACCACCTTCATGATCATGGTATCTCCCCTGCCAGGTAAGTATGAGTTG